AAGTAAACTAGAACCCCATGCGCTTAAATGTATGTTCATTGGCTATTCACCTACTCAGAAGGGATATAAATGCTATGATCCGTCAACTAAAAGAGTCTTTGTCAGCCTTGATGTCACCTTCTTTGAAAACACGTCCTACTTCAAAACACCCTCTCTTCAGGGAGGAGATTCTGAATAAAGAGAGGTTACTTGAAGAGTTCTTTAACTTTGATCTCTCACCGCCTGAACTAACCTATACTGAACATATCACATCTAATATGCCACCTACAGAAGGAAACTTGACTACAGGGGGAGATGCAGGAACTTAAAGAAACAAGGAGATATTAGTTTACTCAAGGAGCCAAACTCAAAGTATACAGAGAATCTCGCACCTGAAGCACCAAAAGAGTCAAAATTGGTGATAGGGCCGAATGAAATCCTACCCGATAACTCTGAATCTCCAAGTGATGATTTACCTATTGCTCTTAGAAAACAACCTCGGTCATGTACTCTCCATCCTATTTCTAAATTTGTGTCTTATAACACTTTAGCTACGAAATTTCGTACTTTCATCACTAAACTTGACAATACAGAAATCCCAAAGAACATTCAGGAGGCCTTAGAAGTTCCCAAATGGAGAGAAACTGTTATGGAAGAAATGCGGGCGTTAAAAAAAAATAGAACCTGGGATTTGGTGGAGTCACCAAAAGGTAAAAGTCCAGTTAGTTGTAAATGGGTGGTTAATGTGATGTATAAAGCAGATGGGACGATAGAATGCTACAAAGCTCGACTGGTAGCCAAAGGGCACACACGGACGTATGGCATTGACTACTTGGAGCCATTTGCACCAGTGGAAAAATAATTATGGTTCAAGTTCTTCTATCTTTAGCAGCCAATTTGGATTGGCCCCTTCACCAACTTGATATTAAGAATGCATTTTTGAATGGAGAATTGGAAGAGGAAGTCTTTATGACAGTACCACCTGGGTTCCATAATAGAGGTGGAGAAGACTGGGTATGCAAACTCAAGAAGTCATTATATAGTCTAAAACAGTCACTAAGGGTCTGGTTTGACAGATTTGCAAAGGTATTGAGGAAACAAGGATACCAACAAGGGCAGTTAGATCACACTATGTTTTTCCGACAATCTGAGGAAGGAAAAAGAATTGTGTATGTAGACAATATAATCCTCATGGGAGGCAACTTAACTGAGATG